GAAGGTTGTGTGAGCAGTGAGTGCCTGCAGTTCGCATATGCAGATCCCGATCCACAGAAAACATTCCACATTCAGGAACAAATTGCCTCTTGAGCAAAGACAACTGGTACAGTTGCTTGAGGTAAATATTTTTCATACTTTTGAGAAAATATGTTTACGTGTCTAAAATTTATTTAGAAGGATTGTCAGAATTACCAGTCCGTTTAAAGTGGAAGCAAACAAGCACTTAGCAAATGTGTAAGGTGTTATAATTTCTGGGTTGGATTATTCCACTGTGATCACCCTCTGCTGTTAGAGTGATCGCTGCACGTTCGTTTTCAGTGCCGAACCACCGGTGAATAACTATCGGTCTGACCGCCAGTATCGTACACTCTTGGAGCAGTCCACAATCGTACTTGCTCAGTAGGCCCTTATAGTGCTCGGTCAGAACGAAATTAAAGTGGAATATAGGGAAGTGTATTAAGGGCAAGCGTAAGGGCCCATGCAAATACCCATTTGCTGCGTGCACATTTCCACCCTGAATGTCAACTGATCGGATCTGAGTCGTAACTCTCTACGAATATGCATGTGAACAAATTCAATCTCTTCGAAATTTCACTCTCATCTAGGCTTTTTAACACCATTAGGCACTTCTGAGCCGGGTAAATAACAAAAATATTACAATATAAAGCCTTCTGTACAGTAATGTTCACCCCTACTTCGTCCGGTCGCACTCTCTGAGAGTGGGGTACGTAGCAAGCTGGCTACAGTAATTCAACTTAGACTGCTCATGTCAAACACAGGGATAAACACCGACCGAAAAATCGGACAACCGAAACCATCGGGTGACCTTTGCTCAACAAGTTGAAACTTTTTTGCTGAATTATCTTGAGTAACTGGCGAAATACCTCCATTCACAACTTACTTAAGGATAAACCACAAAACGAGTTGAAACTTCCATTTACTGTATTTGCCAAATAAATGGGCTGTACAAGGGTTTCTCTACTTTTCTTTAGATCAAAGTTTAAGGAATTTTAATGAATATATCAAGAAATACAATACGCATTTTGCAAAGCAGTTCAGAAAATATCTGACCCGTCTTTTCTTTAGACAAAGTTTAAGGAATTTTAATGAATATATCAAGAAATACAATACGCATTTTGCAAAGCAGTTCAGAAAATATCTGACCCGGCTTTTGCACTAGGTACTACAGTTCCCAAACCTTACCCATAAGGACTAAGAACATCAACACTACACAATAATAGGCTTACGTAATTCGCTTCAAGAATTTCAATCTAAACAGGGCCTACCACATTCCGCATCCATGTGAATAGTAACTAATATCCGACACACCGCAAACTCCGGTCAATTTTACCTAACACACGAAACCAGACAGAACCTACGTCGTGGGTTTCATGAGTGCCGCAACTCAAAGTTTATTCTTCTGGGAAGCGTCTTACTTTTTGTGAGTTTTGATGTGTATATTGGTGTAGCAACAGTGCGTCGGCTGGGAACTGACTTCTCATGCAAATTACGGTACATATCGGTATAGTCACTCAGGTGGGCAGAAAATACTATTTTGTCCAAACATAATCTTTTCGTCAAACGCATGTAGTGCTTATGTTTTTCTTCGTTTTCCCATAGCTGTATCTTGTACACGTATACGGAATGGCATTAAATTTTGGCTTGTATTGGGTAAAATATTTTGCTGTATAATTTCGATCGGCAATAATCCACCGAAACGGAATTGTCAATTCGGGTACGGGGGATCACAACAAGCTGTCATTCGAAAATCACTTGACAATGAAAGTGATTTGTGGTGACTTGATACAATATGCGTTCCAAACAGATGTTATCAAAAGACCACGAAGCGGAGTATGAAGTTGAGGGAAATTATTATTCCTCCTTGGAGTGGCTCGGAAATGCACATAGATATAGTAAGCAATATAAATGTAAAATGACTGACGGTTACACTACTGGGAGTATATCAGGCATAATACTTCATGGTCAGCTACCTCGTGACTGTTTCTGTAGAAAACAAAAGGATGAAGTACACAGTGGACCAGGATTGAAATCAATCTGGCTATATTAGTGCAAATAGCTCTTGAATTATTGTCCAGTTGAGCTAAGCAAATTACAGAAAGATTCATGCAATCGGTGACGCTTTGGGTTTCTTGTCCTCGGAGCCAAAATCCAGGGGCACGTTAACGTTTGGTGTCATTGGTTTGAATTTGTATGAATATAAAATGTCAATATTTTCGGCACAAAGTTGGTCGGTCGCGTTGTCCAATTACCCGATGCTATATTTGTTGGCAAAAGGATACTTATGTGGTTAGTTTCGCTTCCGTCACAGTATGGAAACATATTTGCACCATAGAACAGGGCTGAAAGGATTAAAAGCCACCTGAGTGTTATCTGACTCACAAAAATCTAAACCAAACCTTCTCACTACTTGCCGTGTTTTATCCATGTAAATCATATTAACAATTAAGAGCCATTAAATATGTGTTGGACATTTTCTGAATGCTATACACACGGGCTGATAATGAGCCTCGGATTCGTTGTGGATAATAAATACCAGATTAAATTGAGATATAATATATATTGATCAAACACTTTTGACGAAATTCAGACTTTTTTTGCGTGTGGTCGGTTATTACAAAAATCTACCCGTCATCGGTAAATCGAGGCTAAAAGAACATAGGATGTTAGGTTTTTTCCACTGAAGATGTCGTTACGGTCAAACTACTTTCACTTACGATAGCTGAAAAATATGTACCTAGGAACATAAGAAAACTCAAGCAAAATATTGTTACAAAGGTTACATGAATATGCAAAATACGCTTCAATCGAAAACCAGAGGAAGATATCAGATTATCAGCGGTCGTGCCCTGGCGTAAGGCATGCGCTTGATGAGTCGGAGAAACTCCAGTCAAATTTTATGGATTTTCGGGTAAAAAGGAATTAAGTTTAAGTCCCACTTATGCACATTTTCTCATCTGGCAAAATTATCATATTTTGGTTCTACAAATTATAACATCTGATTACTTAGTAGATTTTGCGTACTGCTTGTCAAAAAGGTTTAGCAGTTTGACTATTGCAATCGCAAATTTAACTGACGGATAACTCAACAAATGTTAGAGGTTTTGAGAATATCGAATTTTATGGACTGATACTACTATCAATAACATACCGCAGTCGAAATTTACAGAATGGCAATTTCCACAGTTTACTCAACGCATCACACCTGGCTGTGTATTCATTTGCGCTGAATAGACAGAAAATATATAGGGAAATCTGATAGCGGGGGAAACTTTTCAATCTCTTGCAATCGAGTTGGGTTCTGGCATGCTAAGTACCGTGTTTCTGTGCTCGCCTTTGTGTTTCCTTCGTCTGCCGAAACTTCGGGCTGCATAACGTCAAATGCGCGCAGTTCCCTGTATGAATCGATTTCATCTACTGCTACTGTGGTTTAGGTGTTTTTTATCATCCCATATACTGACCAGCCAGTAGCACGTTGTGCTATCAATGCCAGTTCTGAGTGTGATTCAAAACCAAGTAAGTAATATTTTTGGTTTGAGCTGCCTTCAAATTTCAGGTAAGTTGTTTATGTGGCGAATTCATGCATTTCCGAGGGATATTGCCAGAACGACCACATACGCCATATCTTATGGCTACATTAAAAAGAGAAATTCAGATTGCACGTTAGGTTGCTTTTGGCCGAAAATCACAGACGCCATTCACAACGTTTTTTCAGTTGAAAATAATCGCTACTGGGCACATTACGGTTTTTTTGAATGTTTACAACCGAGTCACTCCGCAAATCAGCCACGACTGGCTGACTAGAACGCGGGTTAATTTGCACTCAGACAGAATGTCGCACATCTACCCTGGTGTCTCTAATTTCACGTCATACAATCTTGCACTGACTGACTGACTTCACATGTGGAGGGTTTTGCGAATTGCGGGATTTTCTGGCCTCCTGATCAGATTACAAAGAATCAATGGGCGGTGAAAAAATGAACAAATTTGATGTACAGCAAGCCTCAGTGTTTTAGAATGGCTCGAATTCAGCTGGGTGATATTCCCTTTGAAAGACTAAATCATAAAATTTCCGGTTTGTCACGATATCGTAGAAGAATTTCATAGTGAAATGTTTACTTCGCTGAGAGATTTAAAGATGGCTCTGCTAAAATATACACGAAAAATGAAATATCATTACTTACTTTAGCAAATTTGATTGTAAAGGCTGGATAAGTGTCCCGTATGTGTTGCAATGCTTCGTTTGCTGCTTCTTGGGAAATGAAATCAATAAATCCGTAACCTATGGATGTAAACAATATCAAAAACACAAATAATAACAGAAATAATAAATGCTCAACACCGCATTAAAATGTAAATTATATAACATTAGGCGAACTACACCGAAGAAATTCAAATCTTTTCCATTGAATCGTAATGAATTTTGAATGATTCAATTTGGAGATGAAAAACAGCCTCTCACACTTAAGTTGCCCGGTAGTCTGCAGAACTTTGATATTGTATGAATATACGGTAATAATCCCTTAATATTCAGGCTCATAATGATCCCCAAATCTGGGGAGCTACCGGTCATTTTCGGGCACACAAATGAGGTATCTCACCTTAGATTATCTAGCCGTTCAGTGTGACATAAATCCGATAGCCAGTCAGGTGCGTACATTCAAAATGTCCCTTGTTCAACAAAATGATCTGATAGGTAACCTGCAATAAGTATAGTCAAAATAACTAGCAGAATTTGTGTCTGTCGTATAAATTGTAACCTAGGATACATTAAGCCTTAAATGGAGTTGAAATTAACATTTCGAAAAGACTCAGTCCGGTCCTACTTATTTGTACAATTGGATATTCAGAAAAAATTATTCACTTCCCATCTGCTCATTTTTGAAAAACCGTGGCGACAAGTGGACCAAGGTACTTTTCACTACCGTGTAAATTTTTACCAACAAACCAAATAGCGGTTAAGCAAAAGTATCCTGATACTCTACCATATTCTCTGCTCTAATCGATCACTGTTTACTGCAAACCAATTATGTGAAGCCCGTTTCGTATTGCACATTTTAGCCAAATTTTAAAGTGAATTATACGATTCATGCACACTAGTGACAAGCAATGAGGTTTTAACTTGGGAGCTATTGGCGACACAGGAGTGAAAAACTTTTAGGTTTAACGTACCTCAGAAATGAAAACTTTCACATAGCAAAGTTTCAAGCAATCAGTTGCAGCTTGTAGTGAACGCAGACTAAAATTACTCCTGTAGAGCCAATTTTTGAACTCAACTAAAACGTCGAAATGCACTGATTATGTTTAACGTATTTGACTTGTTTGGTTCAGCTATTTGAATGTTCCTTTCAAATGCCAAATGGAATTGTAAAGGCGCAATATTTTGAAGTCGGTAGTACATTGCATGTTAGGGAGAAAAAAACTTTAATAATCATATTTGTCTGATTTTCAAATTTTTCGAATCACTTTCTGAGAAAAATAATACAACGAGCTCACTGAAAAAACGTGCGACAGCAGTTGAAGGTGTAGTAGAAGCATCTCAGATGTCTTTTATGGCCGAAAATGTTTTGACTTTATTTAGATTTGGTGGACTTCTTAATCCGAGAGTTGGTCACCTTGTGTTCTATCTCAAAAGAACACTCATGTCGGAATTCAAAATTCGGTTTCTGTTATCAAGTGCTTCATTACTACGAAGGTGGATACAGTAAACCACGAGTGGTGTTTCAGCCTTCCTGGAGCACTCTTCGTTAAATCTGAGATATATAGCCAGGAACCCGCACACTCCGTGATATGGACATTCTCAACCAATAAAAAATAAAAAGGAATCAAATATAAAGCGCTTAACAGTAAATAAATTCATAGAGACATCTGATACGAAGTAGATGTAAGCGGACCATGAGTGGGATTTATTAACCTTACTTTTTCCGAATTCAGTTTTAATAAGTTGCCTCAGCGGCAATAAAAAGAACTATCTTACTTAAGAACCACAAACGTTCTCTAATACAAATGAAAGATTTCATCACATTATGCTCTAAGGCCGAAACATAAGGAACAAAAATTCGATAGGTTGTGAACTGTTTATTTCAACCTGGTAGGATGCGCATTGGAGAAGCGGTACTTTTGACTTTTGCATAGAATTTGGGCCTCATCTTGAATAATTCTACTGCACAGTATAATCTTCACACCATTTTTCCAGGAACAATGGGATAACATACACCGAATTTTGTGCCCGGTGATATTGCGCACAATATATGAGGCTTTATTTCGTTGAGATAACTTAAAAATCCGAATGCAAATTAGGAGCATGTTTTTTGACAAAACAGTAGGTTTTGTCTCCTATTTTGAGGTAACATTTGAGGTCAAATGTTTACTAGCGACTATCGATAAACCGTGGCGTATGTGCGGATACTACAGATGAGGCACGTCACTAGTCTGTGGTCTTCCGGAAACCATCCGGCGTCTAATGAAAGGTGAGGCATATTACGGAACTTGTAGAACTGTCTTATAGTATTCGTTTACAAATGCGTGATAGCTGGTAAATATTTACGAAAGTTCGTGAGGACTTCTGGAATGTTTATTTTTTAAAAAGTGTGTGTAGATGAAACGTTTAATTTCCTGTTCAATAGTTTGTAGCTGTTTCATTGATGTTTACCGATAAACAACTTCGCGGCGAAGGGCGTCCTCTACACAGTGAGGAGTTGATGGAAAAATCAATTTTAAAACCACTGAGTCATCGTACGTTATTCACGAATAATCCCAAACATTACGAGCTATCGGGAAGCTTCATACAAGATTGAATTCAGTCTTGGTATTATCTTTCATTGGAGTTCGAATGCCGCTACCAAACAACTGCAAATTTAGAGTTATCGCATACTATTTACAAAATTTTGGAGCTTCATAATTGAAGGGAACTTGAAAAACCATCTTAAGAAGTCTTTTTTCACACTTCTCTGCGTGTTTGTGATAAAACATGGATTCAAGCGCAAAATTCGGTATAGAATAATTGGATTTTCATAGGTTGTGAGCATCAACAATAATCCCCAACCTAGTCAAAACTTATTCTTTCCAGTCTCTTAATATTTGTAGCTATAAATGTTAGGTAACTGATGATTTCAGCCTACGACGAATATAGCATGACACCTAACTGACTAGATAAATTGGTGTTTTCTTGCGACCTGTCATGCGCAGACTTGGTATTAAAATTGTTTCGAGATATAGTTTCATCCATTTGACGACGTCTGAAGGTTCTGGCAATCACCAGAAAATGTATAACGGCGTTATCTCCTAGATATTTGTCCACAATGCACTGGTCCGTTCAAACTCTGGGTTTTTGAAACTCTTAATTGGGCTGACACTCTTTGGTCCTTCAGGTGGACGCAGATCCCGAGTGTCCCTCCAATTATAAATTTCCACGAAGATGGGAAGGTTTTGACTTAGCTTACTGGCAGTAGGATAATACCAACTTGTTCTTCAGCTTTTAGCTTCACAGAAATATAACAATAATTTGTGAACTTGTGCCCTGGAGTTTGCAGTCCTTTGACAGTAGCAACAGCTTAGCCCAGATTTAAGTTTGTACGTGAGGAGGAAGCTGGTTCCGATATCACATTATTTGTTAGACGCATCGCTGAGCGAGTTAAAGCACGTTCGTCATTCAATTTTCCGGACGTCTGAGACGAACCAAGAATTTGACTTTGTTTTTTTTTCGTAGACCCATCTTTTTCGGAGATCGTATTGGTTGGTGAAAATTTTATTTTCTCTCCAACTGGTTGAAGATCAACAACTGCTTGACCTAAACTAATTAAGGCAGCTCCGTCACCAATATTTCGATATACTGCTTGTGATCGATACCGCCATGAGCGATCCATCATAAAGCAGGTGGTCTTACCAAGTGAATTTTATTACTGAGTGAAAAAAACTGGGCGATAATACAAGATAACAGTTTTCTACCACCTGATTGAAAGCAAATCATGGATGCGGAAGTGTTCAGATGAGGTAACAATCATTCATTGTGGAAAATTGGTATATTCCGTACAGTATTGGTACAATAGTGTCTCCCTCACACACCACGAGAAATAGGTTAAGTTACTGATAACATGTTGGTTGCGATATAATCATTAGTTAGAGAACGTCTTAGAGTAAGAAGATGCGCAGTGGTTTTCCACCGGGCCCATTAGTTCACATTAAGACCTTTATATTAGTGTGTTCGGAATCCATATATACCGAGATCTTATCCTTTAAACATGTTTGAAAGTGTACAGCATTCACTAGTAAGATTTGCTGGCTAGTTTTAGGTGGCGGTGAAAATATTAAGTCCTCCACAAAACGCTACGATGGATTTCCTACAGCAGGTCTGCTATATGATATATGATGACAAATCTGATTTTTGTGCAATAGTTCGGTGGCCGTTTGCTCGAATTTACTGTTATGCTTTCGTCAGACTAATCAAAATCAAATTTTCGCATATCTTGTTGTTCCATATGAAGAGTGATCTGCTACCTGAGGGATGATTTTGTAATAAAAAGGGAATGTCAATATTCATGAGATCTGTTAAGGAGCATTGCGCATTTTCTATTCATTTTACTGGATACTGGGCTATTGATCAACTACTGCCTGAGCAGGAGCCAATACATTCAACCATACTACTAGCGTAATGGTGATACTACTGATGAAGAGACATGCGCGTAGTATGTTTTGTTCTTGTAAATTCGCTTTGGGTTTCTTGAAAAGGGAGATCTGTTACGGAATTTGTGAGGTCGCTTTGTAGCATTTCCTTGAATTTGAGCAATGAATGATTGGAGTCAAAGAATATCCAGGAAAGTCCTAGAAGACGCGTTCAGGATATGACGGATTTCTAAATAGCTGGACAGACTTTAAGTCTGCCACCCTTCATGGAACTATTTTCAAAACGTTTTTGGCAGCAACCTAAATCCTCAGTCTTCATAAATATGACAATTTTAAATGTGACACCTGGGAATAGGTAACGTTTCCTTATTTTTATGAAATGGCATTTAAAAATGAGCAAAGTCATCAGGATTCAAAACTGATCACGGGAATAACAGTCGGATAACATTGCGTTCAAATGGGCTTACTGGTTAGACATTTAAGTTAAAAAACGGGTCTACAGGAAAAAAAACTACAATTAATAAATGCATTGATTGATTACAATTCATTCGAAAGGATGGTTGATTTATCAGGTCGTTAAATTTGAGACAATTAAAAAGAAAACTGCATTTGTTTATATTCAACCGATTTCTTCATTTGTAACATGTATTGAAATGTTCA